GATCTACACTAGGTGTTTGTTAGTAAAGATAAACCGAATAATGATTACACAAGTCCCTGGAGGAAGTTGTTTCAGAGATAGTAGGAACTGCAGATGCTGGAGAATCTGAAGAAGGGTCTAGGCCCGAAACGTCAGCCTTCCTGCTCCTCTGATGCTGCTTGGCCTGCTGTGTTCATCCAGCTCTACACCTTATTATCTCAGATTCTCCAGCATCTGCAGTTCCTACTATCTCTGAAACAACTTCCTCCAGGGACTTGTGTAATCATTATTCGGTTTATCTTTACTAACAAACACCTAGTGTAGATCCAACTGCTTACTTTGATGTGACCTGGTTTTATTTCAGACTCCAGGTCACCATTCTGTGTAAACCAGCTCCAGTTGTTTAACTTGTTCCTTTTATCCTAGCCATAGACACACAGGTTTTACAATAAACCACATCGGTGATTCTGCTGTAGTGATAAGGTAGTTGGGTATAGGACTGTCGATAGCAGGAACTGTGAAATGAAGCAAAAGCAGTTCATGTTTATGCATTTCATGAAATTGCTTGTCAACTCAGGGTGAATGTCCACCAATAGGGTGGACATTTGTTTTGGATGATTGCACAAATGGATGATATTCCATTGGCTGATATTCAATTTTCTTGCAGATAATGAAATTAGATATCAGGCAAGGTGCATAACAAGGGTGGTGCCCCTACATCTAAGCCAGGAGACCCAAGTTCAAATCTCACATTTTCCAGAGGTGTGTAATAATATCTCCCAATAGGTTGATTACAAATTATCTCCCTAACTTTGTGCCAGAAGCTTTTGTTCAAGTCCCACTTGATTAAAACATGTGTCCTAACACATCTGAGTGGATTGATTGTAAATGCACCTGATTTTAATACCTGAGATCACCATGGACTGAAGGAAGAAACATCTGTTTTGTAAGGAAGAAGCATTGACCTAAAATGGCAGTCGTGATCACCTGGTCTGGTTGAGCCAATGTAAGATAAATGAAGACCACTGAATCAAAATTACTATTATAACAAATCACCCTGTCAGGTGTCAGGTGTAAAGAAGCTCTTGTCTCCTATTTTGATTTCCTCTTTAATGGAGTTTCACATATTGGGATGAAAGTCACTTGCAAATTCATGAGCAAGAAAAATGATGACACCATGGTAATAGACAAGTGAACTGTGTTTCACGCAAGAAGCTTTTCACTGGTGATGAAACGTCCATTCACTGACAACTCAAGGATTTCACAAATTTCGATACAGCTGAAGATATAAGACATAAACTAAACTATGGTTTCAGGTTTAATTATAATAACTGAGGGACTCTAAGATTTTTTCACTGTTGCATATTCTTCATCTTTCCATTGTATTTAATACACTCTCCTGGTGTATTGTAGTAACTTTATGCAAACTTTTTAAAAGCAAAGAATAACAAAAAACACAGAAAACCACAAACATTTCAAACTGTTTCCAGCACTGAAGGAACCAGATACCAAAAGTGTTGTTTTTTTGTTACATGCGGCTTTGAACTAATACTGTTTATTACTTTTTCAGTATACAGAAAAACTGGATCTCCAGCATTTTGTATCGATCGGAGATGACAACAGTGGAGGTAAAAACTCCCAAGCAGCTTCCTTTCAACTGCAGTTGATCAACGAGCAGGTGAAGCTGAAGGTAAACTAAGTAGAATTCTGATCTAAGCCTTGAAATTAATATTACTATTCAAAGTAGATGAACTTTGAAGCTAATAATTGTGTGAGTTTTTGCTCAACTATTTTGTATAAGTTTTTTTAAAAATGGTTTACCTTCTTTCTATAATATTGGAGAAAAGGAACATAATATGCAAGTTTCCTTTGTTTGAAGTGAATGGATTGGAAAGAATGGGCTTTGCATCCATGTGTTCATGGATAGCACGAGATTGCTGAAAGGTTATCGAGTGATTTCTCCACATCCTGCCAAAATGAGCTATGCACCATTTTAAAATTTTTAATTAAGCTAGTTTTACAATATTGCTGCAGTAGTTTGGTGATTGTGGGGAGATGTCAAAATTCTTTGAGTGAATTGGTGATTGAGGGGGTTGTGGGTGATTATGAGGGGAGCTGATGATCATGAGGGGATCTAGAACTCACAGGGGATTGAGAGATCCTAGCAGGACTTGGAAATTTTGCAGATGGTTCTCTTACGGCCAAGGTCTGGAAAGTGGTAAGCTTATTGAGCCTAGAAGAACTGGAGGAGACATCCCTGCTCCATTTGGCCCAACAAAAAGACCTGTAAATGTACTTAGCTTATGGACCTGACATGTTTGAACTCCTTTCGTCTGCAAGATTTGCAAGGCCCAGGACATCTAGCAACCATAAGTTCAAAATAATAATCCTGGAGTAATGAAGTATCCATTAAAAGACCTTTATTGACTGACCTCACCAGTTGTGAGTGCACTGGTTGCTTGCCTCTCATTAAAAACATAAGTGGGCAGCTTGAATGTGGGCTGGCATCAGTATTGAACTTTAAAAATGTTTTACCTTCTAAGTGAACCCAACCCAACCTATCATGAGTGTTAAAATCACCCCCTCCCCATAATCTCCAGTACACAATGTGGCTGTTCTGACTTTGCCTGTGCCAAATCTTTGAAACAGTTACCTGATTTTCCTACACCTGTATTCTTTCTCCATTCATGTTATGTGTTGTAATGGCTATTACAGCCAAAAATGAAAGCAATTCCAGCAAGAATTGATGTCATCCAAATACAGCAAGATATCTCATGCATGTTATGCAATTCTATTTCTCCAACAATTACTGTTTTTATTTTAAAAAGTTGCAGGCACTAGAATTTGCAGCTGCAGGTTACCCGATATCCATAGTCAAAAAAGAAATTATCATTCATTAGTTAAACTTTGTTAATTCCCATCAGTTCTATTGTTGTCAGCCCTGGTACATGCAATGCATATGTAATGTTTAAATCACGCAGGTTGTCTAATGCTAGATGTTCGTACTCTAACAATTTCAGCAAGAACTCTGCTTGATTGTTCACAAATCATTGCACTGCTTTTAAATCTGTTGCTTACTGCATCTCTGGTACAGATCTCACCATTTTAAGATCTGGGTAAAGTACTTTTGGTGTAAGTGCATAATATTTCTATTCACTCCTGGGATGTGGGCTCTGTTGGCTGGTCCAGCGTTTATTGCCTGCCTCTAATTACCCTTGAGAAGTTGGTGGTGAGCTGCCTTCTCGAATATTACAGTCCATGTGCTGTGGGTAGATCCACAAAACCGTTTGGGAGGTAATTCCAGGATTTTGACCCAGCAACACTGAAGAAACCATGATCTGTTTCCAAGTCAGGATGGTGAGTGGCTTGGAGAGAAACTTGCAGGTGGTGGTATTCCCATGTGTCTGTTGCCCTTGTCTTTCTAGATGGAAGTGATTGTGTATTTGAACAGTGCTGTCAAAGATCTTTGGTGTAGTTCTGCAGTGCATCTTGTAGATGAAACACATGCTGCTACTGAGCACCAGTGGTGGAGACAGTGAACATTTGTCGATGTGATACCAATCAAGCGGCTGCTTTGTCCTGGATGGTGTCAAGCTTCTTGAGTGTTGTTGGAGCTGTACCCATCCAGGCAAGTGGGGAGTATTTCATCACACTCCTGACTTGTGCCTTATAGATGTTGGGCAGTATATGGGGAGGCAGGAGGTGACTCGCTGCAGTTTTCCTAATCTCTGACCTAGTCTTGTAGTCGCTGTATTTATATGGGGAGTCCTGTTGGGTGTCTGGTAACTCCCAGAATAATTCCACCTTTTATGAGATTGTCATTGCTTTGTCCAACTTCACAGAATTCAGTTCAATATGTCAGTGCCATCACATACTGAACAATAGTTTCTTTCTCTCCCTAACTCTGATTTTGAACACATGCCATTCATAAGTAGCTCATAACATATCTTCAAAGCATGAAAAATCACCCTTGTCTGAGTTCTGTGTCCCTCAGTGAGACATAGGGTGCAATACAGCTTGTATTACACTTTTCTAAGCATTGATAACAGGCTGCTGCTCTTATTTGCTCAGGACTTTTAATTAATTTTGCAGCCATCTGAGTCTTGCCTCAGAAAGTGGAACAAATTTCAATTTGTCACATATCTCTTCTCTTTTCCAAGCAGCAGGGAGTGGAGAATTCACAGCCATGCTGACTAGTCCACCACTTTAATATTACATTGCACAGTTTTAATTCTTCCTTCCTGGATTTTTATTGTAGTTGGCTCCGTTTCAGCTCTGAAATTTCACTGAATCTTAGCTTGAGACTTATGGTACAATGTATTATGTTATAATAACTGCTGGAAGCTGATGTGAAAGTAGTTTCAGCAGAGGGAGAAGTCATGTGATTTTGCAAACCAGCTTAGTATGTAAAATACAACTACATTTCTCTAATTAATCTGCAAATATTTCCTTTTCACATTTATATCCAATTTTCTTTTGAAATCTACTGTTGAATTTTCCATCAGCACCTTTTCAGATAATGTATTACAGATCCTCATAACTTGTATAAAAACATTCTTCTGATGTCCTTTCTGTTTCTTTTGGAAAACGCTTTAAATCTATATTGTCTGGTTTATGCCACTTTGAGTTAGTTTCTCCTCAATTTACTGTGAAGAGGTCCATCATAATTTTAAATATTTCTACAAAATCCATGGCTTAACTGATAATTGGCAGCTAATATTTGTTCCAGAAAATTGCCAAGCAATGTCCATCTCTGATGAGAGAAAATCTAACCATGTCCCTTTGATATCCAATGGCATTACCAATACTGAATTCCTCACTATCAGCATCTGTGAGTTACCATTGGCACCATCCAGAAGAAAGCAGCCCATTTAATTGGTACTCCCTCCACCATTTTTAACATGCACTCCCTCACCACTGTTGCACATTGGCATGTACTTTTACCTACAAAATGCACTGCTGCAACACATCATGGCCCCTAAACATCACCTTCCAAACCCATAACCTCCATCTCCAGCAGTGCAGGAGAGCACTACCCCACCTGCAAGTTCCCCTCCAAGCCACACAACCATTCTGACACGGAACTCTATCACTTGTTACTTCACTGTCATCAGATCAAAATCCTGGACAGTACTGTAGCTGTATCTACACCTTAAGAACTGCAGTGGTCTAGAAAGGCAGCTCACTGCTGAGGGAATCCCATGAATGATTTTTTAAAAAGTCCCCTTTAACCTTCTTAGCTTTAAGGAGAACTATTTCAAGGATGAATTCCTGTTTGGAGCACATCCTGGACATTTTTTGTTGTTCCTCATAGTTTCCTTTATAGGCTGTCACTACTTAGTTTTTCTTCTTATGTTGACAGTTGTGACAATTACCGTGACAATGATGTATCAGTGGAACATTCATGGTTTTCAGTGGGATTATGTGCCATCAACTACTACAACACAATGTAAAGTACCTAGGCATCTATCAGCATCTGCTATCTGCTTGGTACTATTTACTCTGTAATGATGAACATATAATGAGCCCTTTGTATTATCCACCAGGCTGAAAATGTTGAAACTAGAGAAGAATGGAAAGGTTATATTACTGTGGTCTCTCAGGTATGAATTTTGCTTTTATAACATGTTTCTCCATTAAATGTTGCCAGTCCAATATTTTGAGAATAAAAAAATGTAGTTAAAGCATTATTTGCATTGATGTGGCCTGGATAATCTGAAGTAGCATGGGGCGGTATACGTTATCTGAGGCGGGGAAGGGTTGTGTGGTGAAGCTGGGGTTTAAGGGGCTTATTTTGGGGTTGCTATGTCAGAAAACCAAGGTGGCTCCTCTAACCAGCCCAATTCAGTAACAACACTCATGCACAGTATCACTGTTAACGTGTGCTGCAAAGCTGACGTATTTGTGAAAAATCAAAAAAAAGGCAAACCCTCTCCCGGTCAGTTGTGCAATTCAGGGAGTGTAAAAATGCGTAGACTGGATTTTCCAAACTTCGCATAGAAATCTGGGACTCAGACTCTCAGTTTTGTCATGGTTATAAAAGCAGAGGCAGATTATGGTTGTTAGTCATATATCTGTAATCTGCCACAACGCTCTCCGTTTAATTTCTTTTCTGCATCCAATCCAATTTAAGGATGATTAATATTTCCATACAGAAGGAAATCAAAAATTTCAAACTTTTATATTTGCTAGTTCTACAATATTATCATTGGTGGGAAAATGATGTTCAATATTTTACCATTTTGAATTATTCAGAATGTCAAAATTTTTTTCATTAAAAACATTACAAATCAGTCTGCACAATAAAACCTTTTATTATGCTTCAGGTAATGTTAATGTGCTGTTATATTATGCACATTTCATCCAATCATTGGGTGTTGAAAATGCTTCTAAAGTACTCAGCAGTTGTAATACTGCAGTTGTTTATATGATTGCATGCTGAGTATTTAATAGCAGTATACTGCCTCTTTACAGTGATGGGTGCTGTTTTGTGAGAAGCAGTCAGGGGCAGCAGCAGCTTCACGACTTTGTGGAGTTCTTCACTGCAACTGGTGGCTGGATTTTATTGCACCATTGTTTGCATGTTCAAACGTGGTGCACTCGTGAAGTGCAGTATGTAGATATCCCCAATTTCTCCTGCCCGCCATGATCTATTTCCCATTATGTGTGGGGGTGGTGTGGTGGTGGTAGTGTCTGTGTGAGGCGTTGGCGACCCTGTACACTCTTTGTCCAATTGAGGCTCATAAGTAGTTGATTAATCAAAGAATTGTTACGGCGCAGAAAGAATCTATTCAGCCCATTGTGCCGGAACCGGTTCTATTATGTAGTGCCAATCTTCTGCCTTTTCCTCCATATCCCAGCACATCGATTCTATCCAAATAACCATCCAACGCACTCATGAATACCTCAATTGAATCTGCCTCAGCCAAACTTCCAGGCAGCACATTCCATACCATAACTACTTGCTGCGTGAGAAAGGTGTTTTTCTCACATTACTCTTGCTTCATTTAAACATCACTTTAAATGTATTCCCTCTCTTATTTTTTCTTTTTGTGAACAGGAACAACTTCTCCCTATCTATTCTTTCCAGCTTGCTCATGATCTTGAAAACGTCTATCAAATCTCCTGTCAGCCTTCTTCTCTCCAAAGAGAAAAGTCCCAACTTCTCCAGTCTATCTTCATAGTTTAAGTTTCTCATTCCTGGGACCATTCTTGTAAATTGCTTTTGCAGTCTTTCCAATGCTTTCATGTTTTTCCTAAAATGTGGTATCCACAACTGTACACAATGCTCCAACTGAGGTATAATAAGTGTCTCGTGCAAGATAAACATCATTACCTTGTTCTTGTTCTCTATGTCCCTATTATTAAAGTCAAGAACACTGTATGCTTTATTAATTGCTCTCTCTACCTGTCCTGCCACTTTCAATGATCAATGTTCATATACACTCAGGTCCCTCTGCTCCTGCACCCTCTTTAGAATTGTATCCTCTATTTTTCATTGTCTTTCATAATGCTTCTCTGTGCTGTAACTCATATGCCTCCTATCTACCCACTCCAACAACTTGTCAATGCCCTTTGGGGTTCCACACTGTCTTCTGCACAGTTTACAATTCTTCCAACTTTGCTGTCATGTGCAAACTTTGAAATTGTTCCTACACACCAGGATCTAGATCATTAATATATATCAGGAAAAGCAAGGGTCCCAATACTGACCCCTAGGGAAGTTCACTATGAGTCTTCCTCTAGCCCAAAAACTATCCATTGACCATTGTCCAAAGTCACCTGTTCCTTCTAATCATGCTATGTTTCACATATCGTATCCCCCATTATTCATATAATGTGTCCAAAATACTATTTTCTAAAATGAACCTGCATAATTTATGTTTGAACTAATCAATGCTAACTGTTTTCACCATTTTCCTCGGGAGCCTTAGATGGATCATTGATCACCGAAGTACTAGTTTTGCAGGTTAAGTTTAAATTAGCTCCACCCCCTTACCCACTTCAAATGCAGACCATGTCCTCTAGTTATGCTGTTCTGAACAAAGTAAGATAGCTTGACATGGTTTTGTCTGTAATATAACTAAAGTTGAGGCACTCCTGTTGTTCCTTTTCCATTTCACTACAGCTATGCTGATCTGCAACTTCACCTCCACTTTCTCACACAGTCCTCATATCATTGATTCCCTAAGAGATCAAAACCTTCTTTATCTCAGCCTAAAATATGTCAAAAGATGGAGCATCCACAAAGCTCTGGGGCAAAGAATTGAAAAGATGAATTCCCTTTTGCGTGAAAGGACTTTTCATTGTAGTCCAAAATGATCATGAAATAACTGCACAGAGGCTGGTATCCCATCACCAAGTCACCCTTTATTTACTTGTGCACAGTATACTGGCTATGACCAGCTAGCTCCGAGTCAGTCCCCTGAACTGAGGAGATTCTAAATGTCCTAGTTATATTAGTCAACTAGGGCTTTCCTGATTGGCCCAGATTAACAACCCCAATCAATGAACTCATAGTCAATGGATCAACCTGGTTCTAATCACTACAGATGGTTTCCCTATTCTGTGAATCTAAGACCAGAAGAAAAAGGAAGAGAAATAGGCCATTTTGCCCCTTGAGCCTGCTGTGCCATTCAGTAGGATCATGGCTGATTGGATATTCCATGTGACCACTTGCCTGTCCTTTCACACCCTACTGATCAAGAATCGATCTATCTCAGCCTTAAATACACACGAAGAGTCTACTCCCACAGGTCTCCGTTGCAAGGTGTTCCAAAGACTCTCAACCCTCTGAGAGAAAAAAATCTTTATCATCCAAGTCTTAAATTGGCACCCCTTTATTTTGAAACAATGCCCTCTTGTCCTAGACTGTCCCATGAGAGAAAACATCCTCTTAGCATTTACCCTATCAAGTCCCTTAAGAATTCTACATGTTTCAATGAGATCACTTCTCATTCCTGTAAATTCCAATGAGTGGAGACCCAACCTGTTTAACCTTTGCTCAAAAGACAACATCTCCATACCAGGGATCATCCTAGCGAACCTGCTCTGAACTGCCTCCAATGAAATAAAATCTTTCCTTAAATAAGGGGACCAAAACTGCTCATAGTATTCCAGATATGGTCTCGCCAGCACTTTGTACATTTGCAGAAAGACTTCACTACTCTTATACTCCAACCACCTTGAAATAAGGGCCAACATTCCATTAGTTCTCCTGATTACCTGCTGCACCTATGCACTGATTTTCTGAATTTTGTGCACAAGTACCCCCAAGTCCCTTTGTGTTGCAGCTTTCTGTATTTTCACCCTATTTAAATAATATTCTGTTTTTTTGTTCTCCCTTCCAAAATTAACAATTCCACATTACATTCCATTTGCCAACTTTTTGTCTGCTTACTTAACCTATCAATTTCTTAAACTATTTGTATCCCTCTCACAAACTACCTTTCCACCTACTTTTGTGTTATTTGCAAATTGGCTGCAGTACATTTGCTTCCTTTCTCCAAGTCATTAATATATATTGTAAACATTTGCAGTCCCAGCACCGATCCCTGTGGAATCCCACTGATCTTGGGTCATCAACATGAAAAAGAGCCCCTTATAACCACTCGCTGTTTCCTGACCATGAGCTAATTCTTTATCCATGCTAATAAACTACCTCCAGCACTATAGGCTGTTAACTTATGATTTGACCTTGTTTGAAGTACCTTGTCGAAGTAGAAGTCCAAATGCAACACATCTTCTAGTTCACACTCTATCCACTCTGGTAGAGACTTCCTCTAAAAACTCTTATTAATTAGTCAGTCTTTCGTTAGATATGGAGATCAAAACTGTTCACAGTACTCCAGATGTCATCTGACAAATGTCCGTACAATTGTAACAATACTTATATTTTCTCAGACTCCAATCCTCTTGGAATGAATGGCTACGTGCTATTTGCCTCCAAATTCTTGTCTGTTCTTGCATGTTAACTTTGAGTTCCTGTATAAGCATATTGCACCCAAACCCCTCTGAACATTAACATTTCCATTTCTTTTAAACAAAAAAAACTGCTTTTCTTGGTTGTTACCTAAGTGAGTAACATCACAATTCTCAACATTGTACTTCATCTGCCATTATGTGGCTCATTCACTAATATGTCTCTATCTTTTTTGCAGGCTGTGTTTCCCTAACAGCGTACCTTATATCATCAAAAGACTTAGATATGTTAATTTCTTTTTATTTAAGTAATTATTATGCAGTATAAATAGCTGAGTGTCAAGCACTGATCCTTACCATACTCCATGAGTTTCAACCTGGCAATTTGAAAATATCCCATTTATTCTTACTCCTGCTTTCTGACCATTAACCAATCTGCTATCAATGCTAATGTATTATCCTCCCCCAAACCATCATCTTATTTTGCATACTCACGTGTTCTGTGGTATTTTTTTTTCCTTTATTCATTCATGGGATGAGGGTGTCACTGGCTAGGCAGCATTTATTGCCCATCCCTAATTGTCTAGAGGGCAGTTAAGAATCAACCACATTGTTGTGGCTCTGGAGTCACCAGACCAGGTAAGGATGACAGTTTCTTTCCCTAAAGGACATTATTGAACCA